TAAACAAACAAAAATATTTTATTTAGAATACAGCCGAAAGCTTGGAAATTTAAAAAATACCAGAGTTCAGCACTGTGCCTGCTAGTTAAACAGATAAGCAATTCTATTAGAGTTGAGGAAAATAAATTTGGAGTTACTGAGATTCATGTCATGGGAATGACTCAGTTAGGAAATAAAGAGGTGTCCACCTGATTATGTTTGCTGTCATGGTTAATGCTTCTTTACAATTTGATGCTCCACACTGTGTGGATTTTGTAGAAATGCCTAATGGGAAGTGCACAGAAGAAAGTTATGTGTATGGTAGGCTTTAAAACACTTTAGCAAGATGCAGAAGAATGAATGGTTCAGAGCAGGAAGAGGCTATTCTGTATGTGAAAGGACATAACTAATAAAAAACACTAAGTTATACCTGTTCATAAATGTAAACCCTGGTTTTGCGAAACAGCAAAGCTGAAAACAATTGATATTTATTCATACAAGTTGGTGGTGAATATGTATAAACTTAAATAAACTGTGAGAGTGAACTTCTCACAGATGATATTTCCACTTTATACTGTATAAAACAGATCATTTTTTTTTTTTTTCTTCAATATCTTTACAAATGTTCGGGCTTATTTTTGTAAACAATGGAAAATCTTAATCTTCCTTTTCTAGTTATGTATATATGAATTTTTTAGGACTATGTTCACAGAAAATGTCTCCAGTAATATTAATCAGCTGAAGAGGTTGTCACTTACTGATTCGAAATGTATTTTATATTTAATTCTGCTCTTCCCTACTAAGCTCACTGTAGGAGCACAGCTGTGAGTTTAGTAGTCTCCTTCAGACAGTGTTCTGATCTGATCAACATGGAAATTGATTTCCTTCATCCTGATAGAAGTTCCACAGAATGCTTATGCGGAAGTATGAGTGGGAGGTAGTCTGCAGTTCTTAAAACAAGACGTACTGATAGAGCTTGTCAGCTGGGGCTTCAAATCAGAGACCTTCATCACTGTATCTTCCCTTGAATCAGAGCAGGATCACATAATCAAAATAAATAACGAATTCCAGGTGATCTGATGAAGTTGTCTTGTAATTTGATCAAATATTGGCATTTTGTCATGATTGTTTTCCAGGAACATTTTTTAATATTAGACTATTGCTAGATTTATACCTCCTCTAAAAGATGCCATGTGGGCATTTTCCCTTCTTCCAAATAAGTTCTAGAGATAAAATCACCAATGTTATTGCTATGATTTCAAATACAGTGCTTACTTTTTGGCTGTGATATTACTGTTTTAAGTGAAGGGAGTTAATTGACCCTTTTCTACTAACCACATGCCACATTCACCTAAGACTAAATCAAGTTTGGAAGGATTTGATTCCAGTTAAGCTCTTGAAAGATCAGGCGTGCTTTAAGCTGACAGTTGAAAAGGCAAAATGTTGTACACGCTTATGAAAAATTGATGCTGGATTCTGGAGCAATTCTGAAGATCAGAAATATTTTTTAGAGTGCCTTTTCAGGTTTTTAAACCTAAAAAAAATCACATTTTTAAACAAAAAAGAAAGATTTTGAAAGTGTTACTAAACGATGCATTGCTGTTTTTAGGTCTTTTTCATTCAACTGTTGCATTCCTCAAACTTTTTTTCCCCCATTAAGTGCTAATATATTCTATGTCAGCTATGCTCTATTTTCCTTTCTAAGATTTTTTTCTCTATCTAGCTTTCTGTCAGACCAGAGACTCAGTAAATTAACTTCGGCTGATATCTGTAGTCACAGAATAATTTCATCATTTCCTACTACAATCTTTACATGAAAGACTTCAGTATCCTTTCTACTATCAATTTTACTTTCCAGCTTCTCTAAGCCTGTCAGTGCCTGAAGATTTGAGCCACACCTGCTGAAGATGACTTGCTCAGCAGCACTGAAATTTAGCCTTGTTGACTTCAGGAATCACAGGATTTAATTTTGTGCTTTCTTTGAATTCAATAAATTTAGTTGTTTTCAGTACGGTTGCTTTGAATAAAATGTAGAAGAAATCCAAGTCACTTACATTTTTATAATTTCCAAAATAATTGCTGATTTTTAAATATCTGAATTTGTACTATAATTGTAAAGAAAACCATTATCAAAATAAAATTGTAGTTATCCAGGGGATATATGCTTCTGACAGTTTTGGAGAAATCTCAATAGTTCTTAAATTAATCTTAAATATGTACTTTCTAACCTTGATTTAGAAAGTACATATTTCTAAATTGATTTATGTCCATCTCTGAATATATTTATTCATTTTTAAATTAAGATATTTTTTCCAGGTGTCATTGGCTGCAATTTGGATTATTGGAATCTCACATTTCTCAGCTTATGGTTTCTGTTCTCTTCTTTTTTCCTTATTTCTCAGTGTGGGTCCATGTTTGTTCTTCTACTCAGTTGGTATCAACTATCACCAGCACGATGGTGCAGCCAGAGCCAGTGCTTACAGATATTCTGTTCAGATGTTATGAACCAAAGTATTCTTCTGTCACTGTGATAAAAACAAAAGGGGAAGCAAAAATGTAGGAAAAATTCTTCATGACAGTGGTAGGCATACAAAAACATTATTTATCATTCCAAGATTTATTACTAATGGATTGATTACAGTTTTAGTTCAATGTATGTCACGAGGATCAAAACATATGTTTTGAAGTCAGAAAATACAGCCTGTTTTTTAAAAAAAAAATGTTTAAGAATTGTTATTCTCTACAAGTTTTTGCTTATAATGAAATTCTTTGAATATCTGTGAAACTGTGTCTAAAGTGTATGTCACTTAAATCTGGCTTATGAGAATGCTCAGGGATTGTCATATCTTATGCCCAACTTTTCATGATACAACTGAGCAGAGTGAGATTGTGTTTTGTTAGTTTTGGCAGCCTAAAAAATAGGTCACATCATGCCTTCAGAAGACAATGATGAGAATATTTTTACAGTAAAAAGGTAGAACCTTTAAATAGTCTGTGCAATACAAGAAAAGTTAGGAACTGTCAGCAATAATCAGCATTTTTAGAATGTTTCCCAAATGTTGTTCCATAAAGTAAGGTAACTTGGTTATATATATGAGGGATGAGTTTGTGTCATAATTCCAGTTCTTCTTAGTTATTTGCATGGGAACTGTTAATTTTCCATATGAGCAATTCCATTAGCTGACCGAGAGAAGCTGTGAGACTTTTTTCTTCTGCAAGATACAGAGGGACAATTCACGAAAGGCTTTTGTTCTTGGAAAATTAATGTTTGGCTTGATATTGTTGATAGATTGTTTGTTTTAAGGAAATTTACAAAATTCCATGATGCTTTTTAAAAGTTTGTTTGAAGACACTTTGTCAAGGCTTTTTAAAAATTATTTCTTATGCTTTAGGAATTGATAGGGGAAAAGTATAATAAGTACAATAATGTTACTGAACATCTTTGTAGTCATCACCAAGGAAAAAACTTCCTCTCTCTTTCCTGTGGAAGTACTAAGAGTATACTGGAATGCTGTTTCCAACCCCATAAGTGGGCGGACCCATTGGATATTTGGTGATACTAAAAGGATGTATCATTCTGTGTCTGTCATAAAAGCCCTTTTCAGGCAAACACAGATGATATGTCTTAGAGCTGTCCCCTTGGAGAGTGCCTGAGAGACAATAGAGACAGATAGTGCTGTCATCTGTTTTTCAAGAATGTGTGTTCCTGCAAAAGCCCAGCATTATTCTGTTTTTCTCATGAGATGAATCAATTTCATGGATATATGTGATTAAAGACAATTTACCAGGCTTGAATTGGGCTAATGCAGTATTGTAACAAGATCACACTCCAGTAAGGATTGCTGTAGTGTATTTTTGCTCCCACATTTTAAGTTCTTTATCATAATCCCTGGCCTCAGTTAGAAGAGGCAGGTGAAGCCAACAATACATTTTGGTAATTATTCTATTTAAATGTGAGACTGAAAACAGTGAAAGAACCACAGCAACTTGAGATAACACCAGATCCCAGAGAACCTTGTCCCTGAGTCCTTGCATCTGACCCCTTGGCTCTTTCTTCTCCCTTCCTGTTTTGCCTCTCAGCAGTGAGCTCAGATAGCATGAACTGAGTAGTTCCTCTCACCTGTAGGAGAAAACCACTAAACTAGCTCTAATCTGCATCACAAGTGTTTTGAGGTAGTCTCTACAAAGTACAAATGCTTTTTGGGGAGTGAATATTTGTCACAGGTGGTTTCAAAGGAATCAGTGAGCACAGAGCTGGCATGGTCTTTCCCATGTCCATCGTACTGTTTCTGATATGAACAGTGTGTTCTGCACATAAGTTATTTGGGTCAGACCTGAACCATGTAAGGCAAAAGAAACCATAGCAAGTACAAACTGTGCTGCTCTGACATTCTCAACAAATCAGGCACAAAATTTGCCAAAACACAGGAAAAAAACGTGTTTTGTAACTCCTGAAAAATAACAAGCCAAACAGAACACCTCACCTGTTCTTCATCATATGTATTTAGACTATTTCAGTGTTTCTCCATCAGCTATGCAAAGAACTCATTGACATTCTCACCGTTTATAGTTTGATCTATAACTGCATTTTTCAGTCAGCGAAGTTAGCATCTAGCAAAATTGTGCTGCAATTAACAAAACATGAGTTATTTGAATATGGAAAGGAAATTGTTGCGCATATTCAATTGCTCTTTAGTGATCTTTATTTTCAGTGTGTGACAGAAATTAATTTGGGGAAATGTATCACAGTTGCTGATAGCTATCTGATTTATGCATATGTTGCCTTGCCAATGCAGCATCAAGCTGTTAAGAGAGTTTCTTTGGTCAGTATTTCATTTTCATAAAGGCTAACAGTATCTTCTGTTAGCCCATTAGCAGGATTATAAAACTTGAAACACACATAGTAATAAATCTTCTCCAATTATCAAGTTGTAAGAAGCAGCTTATTGGTAATTTCAAAGTATATTCAAAGTGTATTAGCTCACTCCCTGACGTGAGAATCCATCCTTCTTTGTAAATAGAGCAGAGATTGCCTAAAGCTGGGCCCACCTGCAGAGGGAGAGGTTGTTCAAGTGAAGTGGCCTGATGGAAAGCTGTATGGTGCAAAGTATCTGGGACCAAACACAGCTCACATGTATCAGGTGAGTGTCTATATTTATTACCAGATGCCTATTTTTGAGATGTCTTTATTGCTTATTCAGCTCTAGCATTGGAGTGGCAGACCACAAGTTCAGAGCTGCAGGAATATGGACTAAATTGTAAACTGCTGATGCCTTTAAACCAGCACATAATGCTGTCTAAAACATTAACTAGTACTGTGCATTTCTTCCGGGTTGATATTTTGCTTGATTCCATGAAATTACAAAGAATGATTTTTTAATAGAACTCAATCAGTAGTCTTCACAGAATCACAGAATTGCAGGGGTTGGAAGGGACCTCTAGAGATCATTGAGACCAACCCCCCTGCCAAAGCAGGTTCCCTACAACAGGTCGCACAGGTAGGCATCCAGGCAGGTCTTGAACATCTCCAGAGAAGGAGACTCCACCACCTCCCTGGGCAGCCTGTTCCAGTGCTCCGTCACCTCACTGTAAAGAAGTCCCTTCGTACATTTGTGCGGAACTTCCTATGCTGCAGTTTCCAGCCGTTTCCCCTTGTCCTGTCTCCACTCACCACTGAAAAGAGTCCAGCCTCGCCATTCTGCCCCCCACACCTTAGATATTTATAGACCTGGATTAGATCCCCTCTCAGTCTTCTTTTCTCAAGGCTAAATAGATCCAGTTCACTCAGCCTTTCTTCATAGGAGAGATGCTCCAGGCCCTTCACCATCTTTGTGGTCCTCTGCTGGACTCTTTCCAAGAGATCCCCTGTCTTTTTTTGTACTGGGGAGCCCAGAACTGGACGCAGTACTCCAGATGAGCCCTTACCAGGGCAGAGTAAAGGGGGAGGATCACCTCCCTCAACCTGCTGGCCACGCTCTTTTTAATGCACTCCAGGATGCCATTGGCCTTTTTGGCCACAAGAGCACACTGCTGGCTCATGGCCAACTTGTCGTCCACCAGGACACCCAGGTCCCTCTCTGCAGAGCTCCTCTCCAGCAGCTCATCCCCCAGCCTGTACTGGTGCATGCAATTATTCCTCCCTAGGTGCAAGACTCTACACTTGCTTTTGTTAAACTTCATCTGGTTTCTTACTGCCCAGCTCTCCAGCCTGTCCAGGTCTTGCTGAATGGCAGCACAGCCTTCAGGCGTGTCAGCCAATCCTCCCAACTTCGTATCATCAGCAAACTTGCTGAAGGTGGCCACTATTCCCTCATCAAGGTCATTGATGAAGATGTTGAACAAGACAGGACCCAGCACCGACTCCTGGGAGACACCACTGGTTACAGGTCTCCAGCCAGACTCTGCACCGCCAACGACGACCCTCTGCGCTCTGCCAGTCAGCCAGTTCTCAACCCACCTCACTGTCCACTCATCTATCCCATACTTCCTCATAAGGATGTTATAAGGATGTCGTGGGAGACAGTATCAAATGCCTTTCTAAAATCAAGATAGACTACATCTACCGTTCTCCCCCCATCCATCCAGCATGTGACAACATTTTTCATTTTGTAAGGTGAACAGGTAGAATATTAAGAGAAATAGTTATTTTTTTCCAAGTCAATTACTTACTATCTCCAAATTGGTCGTTTATTTATTTGATTTCAGGTAATTACACTATTAATGAGATAAAATCTATTAATAGTTTGTGACCACAATGTGCCCCAGGCATTTTGTGAAAGGATGGAAGGAAAAACAGTAAAAAGAAGAGTGAAAATAGCTGCACTTCCATTTGTGCAAAGTACTTTTGAATTAATTAACACATAATCTAAGGAGCATTTTATCCTTAGCAAAGCCAAAATGAAACTGAACACTGCAGCTTTAAAAGCCTTTTAAGGCTAAAAAGCTGACTTCTGATTTCAGAAACACAATAATTGTTGGTTTTTTTTGTACTTGCCTTTGAGAAAAAATCAGTCAGCAGCTTTGAGTACTGAAGTGAATGGTAGAAACTGCAATAAAACAATCACAATAATAATACTACTTCTGGAAGAATGAGAATCTAGGTACATTTCTTTTATATATATATAATCATTTTCACTTATGTAACTCTTTTCATCTGAAGGCTTCACATTACTGTACAAAAATGGTAAATTTGCTATTATATCTGCAGATAAATTAAGGCACAGGGAGGCTAAATGATATGCTGCATTGACCTTCTCAGTTTGCCAATGACTTGCAATCAAACTCAGGTCTTCAAATGCCTGATCCCTTGAGTTAGTCTCTAAATGTTACCCTTTTGCTTATATTTGGAAGATGTATTATTTTGTGAAAGTGAAAAGTTGTGGTTTTTTTTTTTTATGAAATACAAAGATTGTTCTACAGTAACAGTAATCTTCTAATCATTTGATCTTCTAAACAGTTGGTCTTCTAAGCAATACTGTGAGATTAGGTTAATATGGTTGTTTAAAACCAAAATAGTAAAAAAAAAAAGAGCTTTTTTTCTCATTTAGGACCTCTGAGACAACATGATAAAAGTAATATAATAGAAAATAGACTAGCATAAGGATGTTAGTAGGGTCTGCAGTTTTTGCAGTTCCTCAGCATAGCAGTTGTAGGATTATTAAGTTTGGAGAAGACCAGTAAGGTCATCAAATCATCGATCCATCACCTCATGAGTTTCCTCATGAATTTCACCGAGCCCCAGTGCCCAAGCCACAAAACCATGCCTCTAAATGCCACATCTGTACATTTCATGAACGTGCCTCTATCCCTTCCTTGAGTAGCCTCTTTCAATGTGCACCCACACCTCCTGAGAAGAAATTTTTCCAAATATCCAACCTGAACGTCCCGTGGTGCAACTTCAGATCACTGTCGTCCTATTGTTGTTACCTAGGAGAAGACACTAATCCCACCTCACCACAACCTCCTTTAGGTAGTTGTACTGAAAGGTGAGATCTCCTCTTAGATTCCTCTCCTCCAGACTAAACAGTCCCAGTTCCCTCACCCACTACTCAAAAAGCTTGTGCTCAAAACCCCTCACTAACTTTGTTGCCCTTCATTGCCCACTCCAGGGCCTCAATATCTTGCTTTTAGTGTTGGGGCCCAGTAGAACGCAGTACTTGAGGTGTGACCTCTTCCCCACCAGCTCATTTTCCGGCACTGGACTCAGCCTGTTCCTGTGCATTTATGATAGAATCACAGAATTTTTAGAGTTAGAAAGGATCTTTAAAGGTCATCTGGTCCCAGCTCCCCTTCAGTGAATGGGACATGCGCAGCTAGATCACATTGCCCAGGGCATGATCCAGCCTGGCCTTGAAAGTTTCCCAGGAAGGGCATCAATTACATCTCTGGGCAACCTGTTCCAGCTCCTCACCACCCTTGCTGTAAAAGATTTTTTCCTTATATCCAACCTAAATTTACCCATTTTAAATTTGAAACCATTTCCTCTTGTTCTGTCACCACAGACTGTGCTAAAAAGTCTGTCCCCTTCTTTTCTGTAGCTCCCCTTTAGATACTGAAAGGCTGTAATCAGGTCATCTTGCAGCCTTCTCTTTTCCAAGCTGAGCAGCCCCAGCTCTTTCAACCTGTTTTCATAGGAGAGGTAGTGGGTGTTACTTCAACACAGGTGCATGATCTTGTATTTGGATTTGTTGAACCTCATGAGGTTCACAGAGGCCCAGTGCCCAAGCCTGTCTAGGTCCCTCTGGCAGGCATCCTGTCCTTCTGATGTATTGAATGTGTTGACTGCACCCCACAGCTTGATGTCATCTAGAGACTTGCTGAGGCTGCACCCAACCCCATCACTGTCATTGATGAAGATAATAAAGCACTTCCAATCCTTCAACTGACTGCCCCAAAACCCCAGAGTTCCTTTTAATAGCCTCAGGCTTCTCTGTTTGACCTCATCATTGCCAACCTGAACTACCTGAAGTGGATAATAAGTATTAGAGACTACTGTGAACTGCTTTTAATAAAACAAACTTTTTAAACAAAGTGGGAAAACAGCAAAGATTGAAGGGTGTCCAAGTTGTACTATACAGGATTTCTGAAATTTTGCAAGCATTTTAATCTGTATGACAGGACTGCCAAACATGACCACAGATTACAAAGTCTGTGGCATGCAAGGTGCAAGATTAACTCTAAGACACGAGTAGTGCTTCTTATTTATCTTATGTGGTTTCCAACACAGCCTCCAGGACACATGCACACACGCACACTGTTTTCTGATCTCTGTTGGACACTTGAGATTCTCATACCAAAAGAATCTCTTACTCTTCCGTGTTCTCTTATATTGTACCACAAAAGGAGAAACTGAAAACGAGTCTCTGAAACAACTGTCATCTGATACAACAAATCTGTTCAAATATCCAAATACAGATAAATCTGTGAATTGTTCTCATGTTCTTGAGACATTTGTACAGAATTTGACAATGCTTATGCATGCAGGAGCTATGACAAAATGTGCCAGAATTTGTGTCATCTAGCTTAACATTTGCCATCCAGTTACCCCACACAATCCCCAAGCAGAGTTATACCTGCAAATGGAGTAAGTGTTCATTTTAAATGAAACTGTTAATGATGTCTATCTGTGTGATGTCATTTTTAATGTAGGTATGATTGTTTTCAGTGTTTATTTTAGATTTTCATTTGAGATGATTAAATTATTCACCCTGTTGTTTTCTACATTTTCCACTGATCCTTTAATCTTGTTGTCGTGATGAAAGAAAATCTCATGGAGAGAATAAAGTGGTACACAGACCCAGTGCAACTGCAGAAGTGCAAATAAAATAAATTGCTGGATAAAACAGATGATTGATGATGTAGTATATGCAGTCTGGAATAAGTTTGAGTTATTAGAGACAATGGTTTTGTATTTTGCATGAATCACAAAACAACTGGAAGTCTTAGAGAAGTGCTTATGTTTGCCTTTAACATTATGGCAAATACATCTCCAGTGCAGTTTCATGCTGAATTATAGCTGAAAACTTTCCAGTTGCAAAGTTGAACATATTTCACACAGCAAACTTGTAAAATTCTGTGTTATGAAGCAGTCTCCTCCCTCTTTACCCTGCTATTAAAACAAAAGTCTTTGCCCATTAATTTTCTCATTGCATGGAACCAAGGGATTTTATTTCCTGCCTGATTCTTTCACTGGTGATGCATAACAAGCATTACTGCAGATACGAAGCAAAAACATACTATGAAATGTACTGTGCAGTAAAGAGGAGGAAAAACAGAAAGTCTGCTCACAGATAATGGTGAAAAATAATAAAATGGCCATCGTTTAAACAAGTTTAAACCAAAGGGAACTTTATGTTCCACTAGAGTACCACTCGCTGACTTGGCCTATAGGGTTAGTAACAGGAACAGAGGGGCAAAGATTACTTCTGTAATTTTTTTACATATCTTGCTCTGTGGAGTTTTCTTTGGATTTTAAATGTGTTCTGGATTTATGCATCCCTTTTTTAATTGTTTTTAAAGAGATCTTGCTTTTAAAGAAGTTAATAGTTCATACACCTGTACCCTTACTTTTGACAGTGGATATACTCTGTTGGATTCTTCAGTTGTTAAAATTAATCTGACACTCTCAGTCAAGGCAAGGTTTTAATTTGGACCTACAAAACCCACTCCATCTACAACTTCAAATACATGATTTTTCAGATTTATCTATGATAACACTTTAATAATGTTTTTATAGTTTGCATTTGGACTTATTATTCCAATATGTCTGTTGTCATTCAAGTGGTATCATAAACGGAATGGGACTTCTTTTAAGTTCTTGCCAAACTTTTAAGTACAGTTTCTATAGGAACTAAAACTGCAGTCCTAGATAATAGCTGAAAGTCACAATTGTTAGATGAAGTATGAAAAAAAAATCAGCAGCTACTGAAAAGGCATAAATGCTTCAAAGCCTCAGCATTTTAACATTCCCCACACCTAGTTACATTTCCTTTCTCATTTTCTGCTAACGGGGTTCATGTTGGATTAAATCTAAACCTAAGCATGATAAAGCTTTTCATCTTCTGAACAGAGCATTTTAAAGAAATTCCATCAGATTCAATAAAATTCTGTTAACTGCTATTTCCCTAGTTGTCACTCATACTTAGTTTCTTTTGACATCGTCTTCCTCAACCTTGAAGCACAGGATGTTAAAATTAAATTTATTTATTTATTTATTAGAAGCAAGGAATTAAAATTAGGCAAATTAAAATGACATGAAGACGTTTTAATACATCGGTCCTACAGAATTATTTTGTCTGTGTTGTTTCTGCTCTGCATTCCTAATAAACTTTATTTTATTGCGTGTGTGTGTCAGTGTTGATTTTGAAGTCTCTTTGCTCAGATGTTTTTTTTGATCTAATGAACATTCTAAGAAATAACATTTTTTTTCTGTTTTATCTTAATTTCACTAAAAAACTAATTATTTATGTTAAAATCTCTGCTTGCAGATGCATTTTTGTTCAGACATTCCCAGAAACTTCCCAGTTAAATGATGATTTTTTTTTAATAATCTTTTTTTTTTTTTTTTTCAATTAGGTTGAGTTTGAGGATGGTTCTCAAATATTAATGAAGAGAGAAGAGATCTATACTCTAGATGAAGAGCTTCCTAAAAGAGTGAAAGCCCGTTTTGTGAGTACTTTCTGATAACTTCATGGTATTTACATGCTCAAAATGCCAACAACGCTATCCCGGGCTTTATTCTTACTTTTTATTTTAATTTGTACAGATTTTGCACAGCAATTAGCACAAGTTCACGTTTGCCAGTGAGAAGGATTTGTTGTATTGCTAATACAGGCAAATGCTGCCTAATTCTTGTCTCCCAGAGGAGTCATTGTGGTAGAATAGCTGTCAGATCATGAGTAATATTTTAAATTTTAAAATAGATAAATGTTATGTTCTTCCAGAATGTTTTTACAATGTCCATAGCTTTTGAAAAACTTTCCAAATTATCAGAGCTTTGAGATTTTAAATGCTTTTAATTTAATAAAAATGCAATTAACTCGTCCTGAGAAACAGAACACCTGTTTCATGAAAACTCATTAATATCACTAACAGGACTTAGAGCATTTCTCTGGTTTTTAAAACCAGAGCCTCATATTTTTCCAGTTTCTTGTGGTTCCAGACAACATCCGCTGGTTAGCTATATGCCATTCAGAAAACAGCTGAGGTTCCTGAGGAGCAGAAGTTTGAAAAGGGAAAGTTCTGCCATACAGATATTGGAGGAAACAGATCTGTCTTTGTCACTAATGCTAGATGTTTGTGCAGTTCAATTCAATACTAATTCTACTCAGAAATGCATTGTGCTCATCTCAAGTCCATGTTCTCATTTAGCATTCTTTGTTCAAAACTGTGCCTAGTAAGTTGAATTACCTTACTTAATCTAACAACAAAGCATAAAGATGCTAAGTTGTTCTCATAAATAAGAGAAATAATTCAGTATTGTGTGAAAAAAGGATAACTCTCTTATTAGAAAAATGAAGCTTTGAAAGGGAGAACAGTGCACAGTGTAGTTTTCATTGCTGCAAGGTGGCAGGCTCATACACAAAACCTGCTTACATATCTGTTATGTGACATTAATTTGATTTTTGAGAGCTGGGTATGTGGCATGGTACAGGAGTAATGTGTAGACTGGATTCTTCAGGCATATTCAGCTTGGATTAGTTCGATGGCCTAACTAACAGCATCACACATATGTATAGACAAGTAACTTTGACTTCCCTTTCTTTTGCTTCTTGCCTGCTTGCTTCTTCCATCAGTGTCTCCTTTCAGTCAGTCCTCAGCAGCTATCCCTTTTATGGAGGCTGCACATTTTTGGGCTGTGTCAGGGGCAAGGGTTGTCGTAATGCGTGAATGGGGCAGGAAAGTGAGAGGTAGAAGAAAGACAGAGAAAACTGAGGTTGTCAGTGAGTGCCCACTGGCAGGATTTACTGAAGGAATAGAATGAGGTTAGGACAGCTCTTTCCAGTTGGAGGTGCAATAATCAGATATTCCTGACTGAGACAACTTTTGGCCAGTTATTTGTGGTAAATGCAAACATCTTTCAGTGTCCTGATTATCTAGGGTTAGGAAAGATGTCATGGAAAATGTTGAACAAACCATCTGGATATATTCAATATGTTCTTCAGTGTTTTTTAATTATATTCAGAACTCAATTGGTTATTTTTTTTTCTTTTTAAGGAGACTACTTACATAAAACTTTTATAATTAATTGCATGTCCATGTAGAACAAAAACTGTTGCATTTCAGTAAGAATATCATTATGGCCATAACTGAGTTCATGCTCTTTTAAAAATGATATTTTTATAGTTCAGTATTTCATTTTTGCATCTGTCACCATTCAATTTATATGGACATTAGATATAGGTTAAAAAACACTGAATTTGGTCAGCTACAATATCCAGTCTATACACAGGCCTTTCCATGATTCTCCACAGTTCCCTCAGGTTCTATAAAAAAAGGATTTATTCCTCAAGGTATGTTTAACACTTCCTTCACCTCCTCATGCTGAATTGTTTCCCCTTTTTGAAATATATGACACTAATTTCTTCTAACCAGAGTTTTTCCTAACTGTGCAAATTTTACCATGGCTCAAGTAATAGAAGTTGGTTCCAACCTCTCTGCCACTGCTTTTCCCCAAATGGATTGCTGTTTGCCATCCTGCTTCTTTGTCACAGTTGATCCTTTAAGTTTGCTGAGAAACAGCTGTTGGTTTCAGCTCTTAGTAAATCAACTAGCATACAGGTTTGTTAACAGAAATCCTTGAGGTAGATTGCACTTAAAACATATCTGAATAAAACACAGATGTGGATAATACTTGATACTGCTGGGAGAGAAGCTACCCAACCATTGTGTTATTTCTGTGTTGCTGTTTTGCATCCTGAAAGAGTGTGATTTTCTGAGTTCTGGATAAAACCAAACCTAGCTGGTATTAGTCACAATTCTAAGGAACACTAAAGATCTAAAAACTTAATTTGTGAACATGCAAAACATGGTAAAGTAAGAATTGTACTTTAAAATGTGTGTTTAAACTATACATTTAGTATTTATACATTTTTCTAAAAACTGTGTCGTATCTGAATAATCCATCATATAATTAGTGATGATGCCATGGTGATCTAGTGGAATGTACCTGCACTTCCATGTAACTCCACTAAAATATATCAGAACGTGGTAGTGTGCACCAAGTCTAATGTGTATTTAATGTCTGGTTTTAGTCTACAGCGTCTGACATGAGATTTGAAGACACGTTTTATGGAGCGGATATTATCCTGGGAGAAAAGAAGAGACAGAGAGTACTGAGTTCCCGTTTTAAGAATGAGTATGTGGATGATCCAGGATACCGCACCTTCTTAAAAAGCTCGTTCCAGAAGAAGTGCCAGAAGGGGCAATAAAGGAAGTAATGAAGAGACGAAGACAGACAGAAAGACACACACACACTGTTTTAGACTGGTTATAGCTGACTAAGAAGTCAAGCAGCATTAGTTGCAATTGGTTTTGAGTTAATTAAGCACTTGGTTTTACAGTGAGGCAGTTTATATGTAAGCCTTGTCAGATAAAGTACTTGAGTTATTACTTCTTCAGTTAAGTAATAAAGATTTTGTAATACTTTTCATTTTGAAACTAGGAGGGAAAACCAAGTGAGAGTAAAACGGATTACACAGCGATAGACTGAAGAAAATTTTTGTTTGAAGTTAGTGGAAAAATTCTCTTTGAGTAATAGAAGATTCACAGTCAGAAGAGGAGACACTTTAATAAACAGAGACAATTGCACTAGCTTATTTTTTTTCTGCTAATAGGGAAGGATGTTAGGTTTAATAATAGCAGTTTTTGTAAAACATTTTTAAGCAAATACAAATATGTACGGGATTAAGACAAACAAAATCAGTTTTGATTCGTACAGTGCTCTTCCTTTTTATGTCACTACTGCTCTCAGTAGGGTTTGATGTGGACTCAACTGTTGACTTAAATATTTTTGGCTTTTCAGAAAGGTATCTTCAGCACAGTAATGATTTTTTGTACATTTAAAGAGGCAGATTTCTGCAATTATTTTTGAACTCGTTTTTCATAAGATCTATAAAAATAGCTATTTGTAAAATATAATTTTCTTTCATTTTCTGTATTGAAAATTAGAGTTTAAAAATATATGCTTAACAGGCTAGTTTTGAATGAATACAAATGGTCTTCCTTTTAAAATAATGGTCTATCACTGTAATAATATTTTAAACAAATATATAAATAAATGATTTCCTTTTACTTGCATCATTTTGTCTCTTGACATGATTATCAATTCCATCACCTCTGGTACTTAAAGGAAGGAGAAACTTCACTGTCTGCAGTAGACATGTAGTTTCCTGAACACAACACAAACACATGACTTAGTATTCAAACAGTAACTTGATAAATGCTTTAATTCCTTGTCTATTTCTCTTCACTCTTTGGAATCTTGATCTTTTTGCATATTTCACAGAAAACAGCATGTCTGAATGCATTTCCTGCCTATTTGTCTGAAACACTTTGGTTTGTGAAACCAGAAGAGAGCTTTATCAAAGTTACATCATCTGTTTCTTATAAACTGGCCCATCAGCAGGATTTCTGACTTCCTGCCACGGGAAAAAAAAACACCTCTCTCAAAGTACAATTTGAGCACTGCTGTTTCTCAGGCTCTGCTTCTAATAAAGAACCAAAAAGCCATATATATCAATATATGAACCCAATGAATTTTTCATGACAAACCCAGTGCTTTGTTTGCTGAGGTGCACTGTTGCCCTTTGCAACGTTGTTGTTTCACTGTTGCCCTTTGCATGATTTTTATTTGTTTGTTTATTTTGAGTGGAGAGCAAAGTCTTCTCATCTCCTGTGTGGCATCTCCACTATAAATTTAATTTTTCTGTGTTACATTAACTATTTATTATTTTGCAATGAAATCACTCAGAATCCCTTCAGTCTTAGAAATTGCTTAGCTGTGACAATCATAATGTATTTCTTACTGGCATATTTCTTTAGAGGTAGTGGGTTTCAGTGAGTACTGTCTGGCGTATTTCAGAATACCGGAGCTTTTTCCAGAGTTGTAAAAGAAAAATTACCAGGGGTACTGTACCAAAATGCAAGATTGCTGCCCTCATGATATAAATACAGCTGGTGGCTGGTAAGTTATTACATATAATGTAAACACCAGTAATAACTTCTTGATATTAAGTTACATAACACTGTTCAAGGATAAGAATGAGAGTGTGATCCATCCATCATAAAGGTGATAAGAAATATTACATTATTCTTCAGTTAAGTACATGTAAACACACTTTGTAAATAAATAAATGAGGCTGTGAGATACTACACAGGCTAAATGTTAAGTGCATGTTCTTTGACTGCATCTCATGACCTATTAGTCAAAACTGAATAAATAATTACCCTGTCTGTACAAAATGGATGTAGAATTTTTCTCTTCAGGTTCCTTGAGATCTGCTAATAGGAGTAATTTCTGAATGTTATAAGGTGCTATAAAATAGCTGTCCTTCTTTTCCAGCTCTGGAAAAAGTAAGTCTGAAATGTACTTTTCTTGATTTTAAATAAATAAGTTCTTGAATATGAAAATAAATAAATGTCCCTAGTTTTTAGTAGTGTAACTCATACGTTTTAAAAATACAGTTTATTTTCCATGGTGCCTTGTACTGATAATCCTTTGCTTTAAGTACGTAGAAATATTAGATTTAATCAACAGAATATAAAAGAAATTTTGTTTTAGTTTTTAAGCCACTGAGCTTTGTCTCTTGAGGTCCTCTGTATAATTGGATTTCTTGTTTCCTGAAGTATGAAATGTGGACTGTATTTGCTATTAAGTGCAGAAACATTGACCTTGATTTTCCTGTTTTTTTTCTCCTTATCTATGGAGCTGAGAGAATGATCTCATGAGGTGTTGGGAGGCTTTGTAGTTCGGTAAGTGCCAGATGCAGAGTGCCATGTAAAGAAGGGAAGAACATAGTTACTACTATCACAGTTTCATGCCTCCTGTCGCAAGATCTTATAGCACTTGCTAAACAATATTTACTAGGCATCCAGCCAAGAAAAAGCTTTCCTATCCTTTGCAGCTCTTCAAATTTAATGTATTTTTCAGTCCCATGTAAGTGGTGCTGATGTGGACCTTATTAGTATGTGTGAAGGCATGATGGTAAGTGATGTGCATATAATAGCTGGTATGCCAACTGCCAGGAACAGGAAGCTTGCCACTGTCTGAATGAATTTGAAATAGGTCATTTATTGCCAATGTAGCCAAGTTCTCACTCCCATAAAACATTCCATTGATATTGTTGTCCTGTTTCTATGTCCAGAAATGTCTTTTCTGATGAAATAGCATCAGGCCATCACCAGTTGGCTTACAGGGAGGTCCAGTAGGAAAAGTGCAGTGTTACCTTTAAAGTCAGGCTGACTGAATCGTGGTGATTTTCCTAGAAGAGAGCTGCATACCTCCAAGACAAACCACTCTCTTTCTATTACCTTAGTCCCACAGTAACAAAGTAAATTGTCTAGCACATTCAAAAATCCTGAAGGCTATGTGTGTGTGAATGCAGAGTACACAAAGTACTGCCTTGACAGGCCAGGGTGCATTTTATTTTTTTCACCATATTCTCATTCATCTCAAAAATACCAAGGAAGAGTCTTGAATAGTTGAATTTTTGCTGGCTTGTGAAGCAGAATATTTTAGCACTATGATTTCCTCAGCTATAGCTAAGGTTTGATAAAATCGCATTACTGGAATTAGATAAAAATTAGATTACTTCTCTTGAATCCTATTTGCTCTTGTATTACTATAGAAAAGCTATTTTGTTGGTGCTTAATAGGAGCTACAAAAAGCATTGTGCTGTGCTACAGTGCTTAAAAAATTTCAATTAAAAGGAGAAATTGATGAATTCCTGCAAAATCTTTTTGCTTTGAAGCTTGTTTACATTCTGCAGCTGTAAGTGAACAGCAGGCTTTTGCAACATATATAGTATTGTACCCTGACACTTAAAATGCAGCAAGATAAAAGCTGCCCCTATTTACATAGCTCCACCCTTTCTTATTTTGTGAGATGTTCTCCAGCATACCGACAGCAAGAGAAAAAAATGCAGATGAGGTAAGTACTGCTTAAATGATCATCTGGCTAAATAGCAAATAGTTTTATTTGCTACCTGTTCTGCTTGAGTTAGGCATCTCTGTGTAGTGGCACAACCCCAACTGTTAACTTTGATAACATGTGATGGCAAAATGATAATTTTGCTTGGATGCATGAAATAATTCTTTTCAGCGTGTAAACATTGTAGCAGCATTTTTATTTCCCCTTAAACAACAGAAGTATTTCATGCCTGTGCCCAATAGCATATTAGCAGGAGGGACAGCTTATGTATGGTGTGTGAGATGAATCTTTCCTACCCATATGCAGAAAAGTCATATTCATCTTTTAAGAAAATACCAGAGCCATCTGAAAAGTTTACTGCATGCCTTTGAACTTCAGAAACCATCTCTGAGGGATCATCTTGAATCCTGAATACCTCAGATAGGAGTCTTCTGTGATATATCCAGTGAAAATAAAATGAGTGATGATATGGTGGAGTATAAAGGTTGCAATGGAGTTAATCTAAGGTGTTGTATATGCTGCCTGCTTGGTTATGGTTTCACAGTTGCTACCAGACCAAACTGTTCCGCAGCCATGCTGCTGAAACATTATTCTCAACAATTTAATGTGTTTCCTATATCTAGATTTGTAGGCAGGGCTGGTAGCTGCCAAATCTTTCTTCTATAAGTAAGCTTTTGTTCAGTTGCTAATAACTTTGGCAGTGTCGGTAGCCTACAGCTGAAACTTTTGTTTGTCGATAGCTGAAAAACATCAGAGAACTCAAAGCTGTTTGTTAATTTGGAAAAACGATGCTGGGGAAGATAACCTTTGGTCCTTCTCTCTGGAATGGGGCCATTTGACTGAGTGTTATGCTTGAGTGCTCCATGTGGAGGGGCTTTAAGATTGGAGCAGCCGTTTGCCACCATGCATATCCAGCCCCAGTGCCCTTCTGCTGTGACAGAGCACACTGCATGCACAGTGCCACTGCCATCACACTGGGACTCACCTTGCCAGGGCTGCAAACTGGGAAGGCCTTTTCCTGTCCTCTGGAGTTACTTAAGTGGAGGGCAGAGATGTGCTCTCTGTTGTTGTCGGTGCCTTGCTGGGTGTTACTGCGGTAGAACAAGAAAGCAGGAGAAAGAAAACAGATAAACCTGCCTTCAGAGGAAAAAAGATAAAAAAAAAAGGAAAGAAAAAGAAAGAATTAAGGCAGATAGGGAGCATTCATGGAGCTGGAAGGGGAAGAAAGAGTGGGATGAGATTCCAAAAAAGAGATTGGGTCATAGTCCTTTGCAGAACCCAGGATGCCCGAGGCTCAAATTTCTTCTGGTATAAGCAAATGGCTGTGAAATGTACCAGCAAATTACTGGCAGGTTGCCTATAGGAATAGCTGTTCCTGATGCCAATTACTGCATCAACTGAAGGAGCAATCATCTTTATTCTCCCAAGGACTTGATCCTCCTGTGCATAGAGGGAAAGGCAGCTACATGTTACAAGTTTTAAAATACGCTTATGTCTTCATTTCTTTATTTATTTCAGATTGATCATCAGAAAAAAAAAAAAAAAAAGCAACACAACAATGTGCATTTGTATGCATTTCAATTTCTGAGCCAGAGTAAGGTTGCAAAATGAGGTATACAGCAAATGCCAGAATTTTCCCAAGAGAAGGAACATCATGTTTGAAGCCTCCTTATCTGTTTCTTACAGATCTAGTCACTAGAGCAACCGTGGGGAAGAATCACCATAGTGACTCTCTGGGATGCACAGGAGTTAAAGCAAGTAAGAATGGAGATGCACTGCATTCCCGAAGGGCATTTCTTGACACAGTACTAACGGTTGATGGCAATGTCATGCTGCATTATTGAGGAGAAAAGGCTCAAGGAACAATGTAATGGAACAAAATTATCTTCAAAAAGTTTCTGTGTCTAAAAGTAGTCCTCTGCAATCCATATGCCTCACTGCTCCTCTGTGTGCCTGGGCAGTGGGATGATCAACAAAGCTGTTCGTTCTGTCCAGTGCTAAGAGAGCAACCCACGGTGACTTGCATGGCCCTGTTGTTTCCCTTGGAGTCTATTGAGTGAAGGCAGGACAGGAGAATTACTTATTACATAAAAATATGTAGGAAAAAAAGGATTACATTTTCATTTTCCAACTGGCCATGATGTGTAGGAGGAAACAGCAGTAATAGATTTCTGTCCTAAATGCCTTTGTTATTTTGAGCAGTAAATCCTCTCAAAATGGCTGGGACTATTCTGTTTATTGCCAGTCCACTCTTGTAGCTCCCATACCAAGTTCTCTTTCCTGACAATTCCCTCTTTGCTAGAAGGCAGAGGAAAGACAACTAAGCTTCTTCCTCTCACTTCACACATAGAACTGAAAAGAGTTTTTCTGTCATTCTTTGTCTGATGGGAAGTAGTCTTCTAAGGAAGCCATCTCAGTGTCTCTAGTTCTATATATGACTTTGTTATGCAAAAATGACTTTGTCTAATATGTGTTAGTTTAATATAAGTGCCTGGCTGCATTAGTGGCCACGTGCTGACAGGAAGTTTCTGGCTAAGCAGTTTGTCCAAGTAGCTGGTAATTCAAGTGCCCCATATCTCTGCAAAAATGAGGCATCCTTGTCAATATTGTCTGGAGTAAAATCCACGATCCACTGAAAACAATGATATGTTACCTCTTGATGACAGATTTCCATTTTTTAATTTTAATTTAAGGATATCAGCACGGTCCTGAATGGAAAATAATGCCCACCAGAAATTTGCAAATAACCATCAGGCTCTAGACAGCAACATAATTGGCTTTCCCATTTTGTTGAAATATGAGTACCAGAACTGTAGGGTTCTTTATAGTTAAACATTTGTAAGGTGCATTTATGCACAAAATATATTTCCTTCGAAGAAGAAAAAGAAAACAAAACAAAACAATAAAAAAACAAAACAAGCCCCCCCCCCCCCCCCCCAAACAACAACAACAACAACAAAAAACCCAAAACCAAAACCCAAAGAAAACTAAAAACCAAAACCCAAACACCTGCCTTGAGAATGCCAGGAGACATTAGATTTTAATGGAAATTATTAGTGGGACATATGCTACATACAAAGCTCTAGCTGTACATGAGCTGCTTAGGTTTATTTTGATATAACTGTTACCTCAGTCCCTGCAAGCAATGGGTAGATTTCAATGCTCCTTGGGAATGCAGTGCTCCCCCTTTCTTGTCCCTGCTGTATCATGTACTGTAGAGGATCATATAATGGCTCTTTCCTACAGTTTCTGTAGTGATTAGAGCTATTCGACAGGATGTCTTTGTAACTGAGAATAGGCATTCCTAAGTGGGAGAGGATTTCAGTTCTGAAAGCTAAGGAGATACCTGAAACAACACTGGAAATGGAGTATTTATAAGC